GCGCTTCCTTCCGCCCCCGAGCCGATCGAGATTCGTCCCGCTCCCTCGAATCGTCACCGGCACCGCTCCAGTCGGCCACCTCGGCAGCCACCTCGGCCGTGCGCCCTGCATCGCCCTCGCCCCTCGGTCGCGTACCCCTATCGGCGCCCGAGCTTGACCCGATCGAGCCTCCTCCTCAGCGTCTCGCCGTACTTCAGGCCGAGCTCGAGGCCAGCGAGGCGCTCAAGGCGTCGCTCATCGCCGACGTAAAGAGAGCCCGCAAGGAGTCGTCCAAGCAGGAGGCCGGCTTGCGTCACGAGATCGACGCCGTCAAGCGCGGCATGGACCGCATGAGCGCCACCGACCATCGCAGTCGCCAAAAGGTTCTCGCCCTGCAGGAGCTCATCAAGCAGACCACCATCCACACCAAGGAGATCCACGAGGAGGCAGAGCAGACCGAAACCCAGCAGCCAGACTGGGAGCAGCAGGACTCGGACATTGGCACTCAGGTCGACGAGTTGCGCAGCGAAGTCGAGGCCGAAGAGGCTGCTGCCCAGGCCGAGTGGGATAAGGACGAGGCGGCCCTTGCTGCGCTCGAAAAGGAGCTCAAGGCGCTCGAGACCACCGCCAAGGCTCTCGAAGCCGAGCGTGACGAACTCCGCGACGATAAGCTCGCCTCGGTTCACAATGACATCCAAAAGGTCAAGGATCAGGCCAAGGATGCGCTCAACCGCCCTCCCGGCCACGCCGCCGGCGCACGACGCGGCGGAGCCGCGGCCGTATTCCCTGCACGCGGCGGCGGTCATCGCCATGCGAGCGGTCCTTCGCACACGGCCGCCTTTGCTCCCGGGCCCAAAGGCAAGCAAGGTGCAAGGGGAGGCAAGGCGGGCAGCTTCGGCAACCGCGCTGCATCCGGTCCTGCTGCTCAATTCGGTGCGGCGCCAAAATCCAACACAGCTGGCTTCACCGGCGGCTTCATGCAGAACTTTGGCAAGGGCTTCCGACGCGGCCCGGGTCACAACGCCAATCAGACGCAGAGCTTCGATGCCATGGCCGGCGCCGGGTTCGCTGGCTCTGGCGCTCCCAACGCAGGCGGCATGCTTCCGCCCGGGCCCGGCTACGGTCCTGGTGGCATGCAAGACTCGTCGATGGTCGGAGCGGGCTTCGGAGCAGCCCAGCCCTATGGCGGGCTCGAGTCGTACTACGGGCAACCGCAGCAGCAGGCCGGCCACTTCCCCTCGGGCGCGTCCGAGGCGAGTCAGGACGACCTGTACGACCCGACGCTGGGTTTTGATCCGTACGATCCGTCCATCGATGCTCGGCGCAGGTCGAGCCTGCCCTTGCCGCAGATTCCGTACCAGCCACCGCAGTCCAAGCTGCCGGCGTCGAACACCAGCACGGCACTCAACCCGGCCAATCCGGAGTTTGTGCCCTCGACCGGATCCAATCACGCCTCGCCGGTGATCAGCAAGAACGCTTCGGCCTCGAGCGCCAGGACGACTCCCGTGACGGCGGCATCGACAGCACTGCCTGCACACACGGCGGCGGCGCAGTCGCCTACCGCCGGCGTCGCTTCGGTCGAGCACTCGCCGACGTCTTCGTCCAGGTTCGCCTTCCCGCTTGCACGACACCTACCTACAGCTGGCGGTCCGACGTCGTCGCTCACGAGCAAATCGAGCTCGTCGGCGCTGGCAGCGGCCAACAGTGCTGGTGGTGGTGCGGGCGCAGGGCTGACTCTGCCGCCGGGCTCCGA